AAGAGTGCGCAGGGTGAAGATGGGGCATCAGGCGATGCTAAGCTCGGCCGGTCAGGCCATCTCCCATATGCTGTCCAATTGATTACGAGAAGGGATTTGGTCGAGTCAATTTTAAAGGATCTGCCCCGCGGAAGCGAATAGTTAATGGATGAAATCACTGTCTACTGGTAAGCTTATAAGTCAATGGTTGGGGGAATCAGAGCGGCTAACGGAGACGACAGCGAGTAGACACTCAAAAAAAGTTGCTTAAGAGATCTGGTGAAGTGGCGCCAATTTTCCAATAATTTTAGAGCATATTGTCGATATTGATGACTTTGATTTGAAATTAAACAATTACTGCTAAAATTGTATGGGAGCGACAACAATAACGGTGGAACATTAAATAGGAATATCATGTTGTTGTCTAGCCGAGTATAAGTTGTACAAATCCTGTTAGATATAATGCTAGAAGCATTTTGTTGTCGTGGCCTGTTAAATTTCTTTGATAGCCGTATTTCTACAAATATTATGGACAACTCAGCTCATTAGCGTCCAGTATCTTCGGCTTTCGCATGAACGCTCTGGACGACGTTTCTACTAGGCGAATTCTTCTCTGAAACGACGACATTATATATATATATATATATATATATATAGATGCCTGTACAATCTTCATTAGTACACTTCAGCTTTTAGTGTGCCTGTACACCCATTCGGCTAGGGGTTCTCGAGACGCATACGCCTTTATTTGTGATTGGAAAGGCTGTATAAAGAAAAGAGCGCGGATACGAACAAATGCGTGTTTCAGTGCCATTGACGCCCGTGGGTCCGCGGGTATATTTTGGATGGACTGTTGGTTGCCTACTTTTATAAGGTTGATTTATTTGCGTCTCGTTACGTACTGCCGCGGCAATACTATACTGCTACGACTACTCGTCGTGCTTTAGCCCCCATTGTACAAAAGCATGTGTGGTAAAGCGTAACGAAGAACAGCCTTCATTTATGATAATAGTTTCAATGATTAGATGTATAGTTATTGGCAGTTATAATAATAGTATACGTACTACAATGGTAGCAGTCAGCGGATGGATAGAAAAGGGGTAATTAGATTTATTATGATTATTATTATGGTCCAAATTGCGAAAATAACGCATAGTTTTTGTTATAACGACTTCAGAAACAACTGCTTTTTGCTGTAAATACTAAAATAACGCATGATATATATATATATATATATATATATATATATATATAAGCGCTAGTTGGAAAAATTCTTTTGGGAAAAGTACTACATATGATAAAAAAAAGGTGATATCTAGTTAAGGTCGCTGGTCCTCGTTTCCTTGTGAAGTCTCTTTACTGAACATGGCGGAATGACTAGGTTCTTTTTTGTAACTATCTTCAAAGCGGTTTTCGGATCCGGCCCGCTCCATGCGACAGGGTACATACAGCGGCAAATTCGAGTGCTGCCAGCGTAATATAGAACGCAGTTGAGCTCCCGGTTGGCTGAGGAAGATGACATTTGAGCGTTTGAGAATTTGCTTGAAGCCAAAGTCGCAGTGACTCCAAAGGCATTGAGTCCAATGAGCTTCTCCTAATCCTAGACCTCCCCTTCTGGGTTGCGGATCAAGGTGGGGCGCTATGGAAACCAAGGCCTTTCGGCTTTCGGTAACTTGCTGGATGAAGCTTTTCTACAGTATAGTAGTAGCACTACATAGGATGAGAGAAAAGAGCCTTGTGCTGCATGAAATTGCCCGAAAACGGGTCAAGAAGATCGCTGCAGCTGGGCAAGGAAACACAAGCATAGATGCATACATACTATAACGAGCCTCCGGTGCTTACAATGTTGATGTAAACTAAACAACCGGCACACGCAGAAAAATACGTACGACATAATCGCTTTGCACACGTTTCTAACACATTTTGGTCGTACTCTATTTTAGTCACTAAGTGCACGCACGAAACTTCAACGGGCTGTCTGTAGCGGATTTAGGCTTATCATTGCGTTTTTTTTTATATGTTTGTATATTTGTAGTAGATGCGCAAATTTCGTATCATTACAGAGATACACAAATTGGGCTTTATTACTTTAATACAATCAATTCTGTTTGATCATATCGTTGTCGATTACGTCAGTTTCTTTGTGTATATATTTTTGCGTAAGGCTCCTTTAAATGAAGGGAAACAGGTTGAAAATTGTTTTTCGTATGAGCTACGCATGTTGTTGATATATTTTTAGCTGTTTGATCAGTGAAGAACCTTGTCTATGGTATCGCATAGTAATAGTTGCTCTAGGTGTAGGTAACCACTGGGGGAACAGGAAACACCAGCAGCGAAGCCGTCACTTCCATACATACACACATCCATCTATCCAACTTCATAACCACGAAGCGGTTTAGAGCAGAACATTGGGAAATGGCAAGCCTGTGGCAAGACAATTGCCCTAATAAGCTTCTTTGCCTCATGTCGTCGTCATCGTCACTTTCTTTCAATGTCCACTGCCACTTTCCGCCGATTCCTCATTCGTTGGCCAATATTTTTAGTAAATCTCACTGTCTACATGGTACTATCTACCCGTTAGGCTCATCTGCTCTACAGTTTAAAGTCAGCTGGTCATGCATGCGTGCACTTTTGGCGCATCTTGATACCATGCAAATCGAGACTAGGCGACCATTCGAAGAGACTACGCAAAGGAGTGTATGTTCGTCGACACTGAGAAGGTGCACGAGAGCTAAGGGACTTAAGAGGTGGCTTGCTGTTAGTAACGATGGCGCCTGTAACAGAACGGGTATTCGGCTAGATGTCTTTGGCCAATCGGTTTTACAGATGTTCTCTCAGGGTTACTCACCTCTGGCCTCTCTATATGCCTGTTTATCAAATAGCTCACTTAGCTTTCCTTTGCTGTCCGTTACCTGCCAGCCGTTTCTTTTCTGATGGTAACATGGGGTTCGACCTGACCGCCGCCAATACGATTTTCTGTTCTTCTACGTATGTATAGATGATGGTGCTTCCAAAATGCTCCCATCGAACCATACGCACTCTTCCTTCTCGAATTTGTAGTACGCTTACTATGTCGATCTCGTCCCGGCGCGCATCTGTGTCTCGAGAATCATCCCTATAGCGACGACGTGGGTGCGCGTTCTCTACCCGTAGCTTTCGTGTGTTTTACTGCAGTCACCAGAGCCCTCATTTTCCATAATTGGTAGTATACGTGCGTTTACCTATTGGTAACCACCTATTGGCAATTGCCGTGGGTGGCATAGTTTGAACAGGGGGCAATTCCTCCCTGCCTTCAGGTTCATATGTACTGTGGCTAGGTACTTTTACACCAGCCGAGTTCCTCTTACCGATTTTTGCAACCACCTTCTTGTCTACATAGGCTGCTTGCTAGCCTCGTGGAGTCCGAAATGGTCTGAACTTGTCTAGAGAGCAGGCGGAAGCGGGTGAAGTTGGCTAGTGACTCCACCCTACCTTTTGGGGGACTCCCGGACCCTTAAAGGGACGCACGACGTTCGTGTTTAGAGAGCACGGCTCAGAACAGTGTGGGATAATGGTGGGGGAAAGAAACGTATGAAAGCACTGGCACTAGCCATGTGTATACGTGTTTACCTATATGTGCTGATAAGGGGACAAAGGAATGAAGCACATTTTGAACAGAGACAAAAAACGTCCCATTACGTCTTTATGCCTTCGTGTGTGCCTGTTGAGTGGGAGAATTTGCATTAACGCTGCCGTTCGTTGTCAGTGTTGCTGCTACAGATGCGACCACAACAAACAGACCCCAGCGGTCAGAATTGAAAAAAAAAATGCGTTGCATATGTACTATCAACTTTGTATATACACAGATCACAGACATATTTAAATGTCTGCTATTTAAGCAAGCTGTACATGTAGACGTAACACTATACACAGGAACCAGTAGAGAATGCCGTTTTACTATGGACTTAAGTCGGGAGATTGAGCTGATCGACCGTTTCTACAAGAACGATTGTCGTAAAACACAACTTATGATACCATCGTACAGTGCAATGTGGGAATGTTTTATCTTTTTGAGGAGCCATTTTGAGGAAAGGTTTAAGATGAATGAATCTGTATTTGCTGCCCCGTATTTGGTAGACTGCCGGAAGAAATCGTCGATGTAGTAGCTAAGGACAGGGTTGGAAATATGAACACTTTCATTTTTAATTGATGGGAACACTTGAGTCTGCCGTAAACTACTCGGCTTGTGCCGGAAGAAAAGCGTAGTGACCGGCCCTATAAGGTTTAGCCAATTTAGGACCTGCGAGCTATAGACCATACAAAATGGTATACGTTTGCCAAATGGGCCGAAGGCAGCTGCTAGGCAGCCTTCATTCGATTAATTCGTACCGTTATTGACCAGACTAGTAAACCACCAAAGGTACCGCATATATATATATATATATATACATACATACATAGACAAAATAATCTGTTTTAATTATAATGTCTTAATAAAGTTATGGCTATTTAGACATAAAAGCGCTAAATGCAAAGGTATTCACTTTGGATATATATATATATATATATAAGCTGAGTTTGAGTCTAAGTAAGTTGCAAGTGGGCTTGTGTCTGAGCAATGTGACGTAACGCACATTTCTATCAGAATTTTTAAAGCTTATTCGCATGTATACTGCATTAACTTAAATCTGACTAATGAAGTTACACAGCCTGCGAAAAAAAAAAAAGCTGTAATGTTGTCTTGTTTGCCGTAGTGATTATACGATCATTCTAAAACATAAATGAGAATCTTGCATATGAGCAAGAATACTCTAACATTGTGTAAGTCTAGAAATATATAGCTCGTACAGACGCTAATTGAAAGTTTAAAGCGACCATTGAGAGCCGCCCAATAAAATATTAGGATTTGTTATAAGAATTAATAGTACTGCATCTTTGGAGTCTGTTGACAAGCTATGTTATGAAAAAATGTGCCTGTAAACATAAAGAACAATCATAATAATTTAGAACGCTTTCCCTTTTCGGCCTGTCGATTCTTACAGATGGTGAAGTGGATGACTTGACCGTGAAGCCAGTCCGGTTGAGGTACGGTTCGTCGTTGGTTGCTTAGAAGTGAGCGGAGCTCTGGCAAAACGAGAACCTCGGAGTCTCGCAGGGAACTCATAGATACTCACGACGTAGCGGTATTTGGCTGTTCCGAAATGGCAGAAGACAACGACGAAAACGGCCGAACGACCCCCGCCTCCATACGCAAGGGGAAGCCGGGTGGAAAGATGAATCCGTCCCCGAAGAAAGGCCAGTGCGTAACCTGCACTGTGCGACTCCTGGACGGAACCGACTTCGAAGAGCAATTCGACAAAAAAGCTAAGGGACAACAGGTTAGAAGGCCTCATCGAGAGACGTAAAGTTTGCTTTGTCCATATACCTTCTGCTAGTCGAAACAAAAAGAATCAATAATGACTAGCAAGTCATATCAAGCACGTGTACGGGATTCAAACAAAATTTGCTGATAGCCATAGGTAGATTTACAGTATACCCCGATATATCTGTACACAAATACTATGTGCTCGGCGTAGTTTATGCTGTGTTCAATAGTATGTCCTTCGCCGCATGCCGCGACTTCGACTCTGGCTATGGTTACTACAAGCGATGACAGTATACCTCTCTGTTGAAGTTTACTATACATGGAGACCTTATAGCTGTATATCGCGTTATCATTTTATTTTTTGATGCCCTGCACACGAGTGCATTTACAGGACACATTATGGCACATATAAACTGAACACTAACATTATTGGATTGTAGTGTTGAGTTATAAATCGATAGTGGTTAAGATTCTTCTTACCCTAGATAGATTCTGTTGTCCCTTTTAGAACGTAACCTGGGTAGGCTTAGGCATATTCATTGATATTGCATCGTATTGCCAGTACTTTGAATGAATCCACTGAGACTAAGCTGCTAAACGGTAAACATGGCATGGCATGTTCTACCTTCCCGTCTACTACACTTGTCTGCAGAGATTTGTCTACTCGACGACTGGCAAATTGAGTATGTTATGTGTCTGTCGGTTTACCACAGATTCTGAATACGATTCGAGCTGATGTTTCGTTATTCTTTTCAGTTTTTTTTTTTTTTTTTTTTTTCATATTCACAGTTCAGGCAATTTGTAACTAACACCCCAGAAACGAATGTTGTCTTTCCCATAGGAAAATCAAATGCTCAGTGATTCGAGATCGAATAGATGGGTCTTTATGCGGCTCGCAAAGAGTCCTATGAGATGCAGTGGAGGGTCCACGATAAGGGTTAATTTCTAAGAGTAAAGATCCATCAGAATGGCTTGCTTCTGGCTTAGATGTCTAAAGCAATGAATCTCAGGTTTAGATAAGAAACTTAGCAGTTACAATATAGCTGCCAAGTTTTATGAGATGTTCACGCTAAATCACTTTCGTCGTTATCTCATCTCATTTTTTTTTTTACTCTAACGAAAACCTACTACATCCTGTGTTAAGTAAATCGACTAGCTCTCTAATTGTTGTTATTTCGTGTTTCCTTTACAGGTTTTCGATATGGTCTGCGAATCTCTGAATCTTCTAGAAAAAGACTACTTTGGCTTAACGTATAGAGATGCGGAGGATATCCGAAACTGGGTTAATCTGGAAAAGAGAGTTGCAAAACAACTCAAGACCAGTCCCTGGATGCTAAACTTTGAAGTCAAATTTTATCCCCCCGACCCATCCCAGTTACAGGTGGGTTTCATTGCTGAATTAAATATATATTATAAATTTATGAGTTTAGGAAAAGTAACCAGGCTCATTTCAAATAATGCAATACTATCGATGCGCCTGTAAAACAAGTCGTATGAGCCTAATAGCAAAGAAGACTCTATTTTTCTCGTTTCGACCATTAATACCCTTGTATAACTATAATACCCTTGCTGAATTGTTTATACCATCTCATCTAAATGTGTTGCGTTCGTGCTTATCGTTTCATTTTTTAGGAGGACATCACGCGGTATCATCTATGTCTGCAGGTTCGGGAAGACATTTTTTCGGGGAAGCTTCCATGCTCCTTTGTGACGCACGCCTTACTTGGTTCATGCCTCGTGCAGGCTGAGCTCGGCGATTACGATCCAGATGAAATGGGATCTGACTATCTTTCGTCATTCCGTTTAGCTCCCAATCAAACACCCGAACTCGAGGAGAAGATTGTGGAATTACATCGTCAACACAAGTACGCTCACTAGTTTATTGGTTTGCTTGCCCCGTTTGACCGCTAATCGGGAGGGCATTTAGTGTTACCATGTTAATCTTTGGGGCTTGGTACAAACGCGTTATAATTGGAATCGACGCTGCCGACAAACGTTCATTATAGTAGTTTTCCTTTAAATGGTAACGTTGCGAACACTGCCGGATTGACTATTGATTATGTGACTGGAAGTTGAAGTAATAAAAGTGATCAACGCTAATCGCAAATGGAGCATATTAGGTATTATTTTTAACGAGTGAAAAAATCATAGATAATGTATCTGTTATAAAAAAAAGCATGAAAACATTGGAATATAATAAAAATGTGTGTTGTATTTTTTTCTACTTAGGGGCCAAACACCAGCCGAAGCAGAGCTACATTATTTAGATAATGCACGAAAGCTGGCAATGTACGGTGTGGACCTGCATCCGGCAAAAGACTTCGAGGGCGTTGACATCATGCTTGGGGTGTGTTCTTCCGATCTATTAATCTACCGAGACCGGCTACGAATTAACCGTTTTGCCTGGCCAAAAATTCTGAAGATCTCCTATAAACGGAATAACTTCTATATAAAGATTCGGCCAGGTGAATTCGAGCAGTTCGAAAGCACGATTGGCTTCAAGCTGGCCAATCATCGTGCGGCCAAACGGCTATGGAAAACCTGCGTTGAGCATCACACTTTCTTCCGATTGATGTCTCCTGAACCCCCACCTAAACAGCGTCTATTGTTACCCCGACTTGGATCTAAGTTCCGCTATTCGGGCCGAACGCAATACCAGACGCGGATTTCTCAGATCGATCGACCGCCACCATCATTCGAAAGGACTCTGTCCAACAAGCGTTTCTCCTCCAGAAGCATGGACCGTACGTATCGATGACAGAAACAACGCGGTTCTAGCAATAATGGCTTTATATTTCTATCGCTCATGCATCACTACCTCATCCCGCGCTTATACGTGGTCTTCTTTCAGTCCTCCAAGACAAAAATCCGCCCACCTTGGCTTTGACGTTTTCCACAATACGGCTACTAGGCAAACAAACATTTTTCGTAGATATTTAGACACAATCGATTCATTTACGGAAATATTTATGCATGCAGTGTATCGTTGTGTTAATGTCGTTTGGCCTCGTTTATACGGCGACATTACAGCACAATGATTCCGATTATTATATAATAATTATTATATAATAAACGAAGATAGCCATCCGAGCATGTTACCTTGTGATATGATACACTATATCAACTGCTTTTGTTTGTAATACCGACGTGTTTACGTTTGCGATGTGTAACTTCCGTAAGCTCTGCCGTTGCTAGAGGTATCGTTTAACAAATACAAAAATATATCATATTTTTGCCTCCCCTTGACGCTGAACGCCCTCTGAATAACTGCGTTGCTATGCTAAGTTTGCACGAAGGCACAAGATCAACATGCAACGAAGATTATATATAGAACATTTCTTGTTGTTTTTCCGTGGTACGCGACTCAGAGTGATAGTAATCATGTCTTCCTTAGCTTACCTAAAGGTCCTGTATAGCTTTTACGAGTCACAATGATGAAGAGTTTTATGATCAGCCACAGGATTCGCTGTTTATTTGCTCATTTTTAGCTAGACTAGTGCCTTCTAGATGATGGCTTCATTTCCCTAAATTGTTAAATATGATTATTATAACACAATTATACTCATAATAGAGAATGTCAGAAGGTTAGGTTAGGTTTCGGTGGGCTCGGAACCGGTGATGAGATGATTTTCATTCGTTCTTTCCAATTCGATGTTGACCGTTGCTTTTCTACTGTTACATAATAAATCAATTCCTATAGCAACAATTTCCCTTGCTCGTCATCGCAATTGGCTCTCATTCGATGTTGTGCTTCATTACGTTATGTTTTGTTTCGGTGTTTGTACGGATGCACCTGTTCGTTGTGTGGACGCCGTCATTTCTGTGTGGTATCGCGTACTGCTGTTCCCGAATGCACTATATCGTTACGGTGTGCTCTATCTGTCTATCCTCACAACGTCCGATTTCAGCGCTGAGTTATTCTTCCAGCCGGGATAGACTTTCTGATGGAAGGACAGTTCCAGCAGGTAAGACTTCGCTCTCTCGCTATACCACATCACGTACCTTGTCATACCGTCATGCATCCATACAAGGCGTGACAGTTGTTGGGTTCAGGGCAAAGTACGATACACATTGTAAAAATAAGCTATACTAAAGAACGTTTTTCTTCTCGTCCGCTTCACAATAAATTAGTCTTTTTTTTTTTTTATGCGAAACCTTTATAGGACGACTTCGTTTTTCTGCGCTGCTTTTTGCAGGGCTTTTAGCTTTAAAGGTCATATATTTCGACGCATAGCAGTTAGTCTCTTGCCAAGTTAACTTCAGAAATAGTTCCCGCTGTTAGTTTCTGTCCTACATAAAACACAATTCGGACATCTGATCCGAACATGTTTAGCTATGCGAATTTTACGATAAGAAGTCTCTATTAAATTTCTGTATCTTGTGACTATTAGTAATTACCGAAGAGACAGGTGAGAACAGCCTGAACGAGTTTATCGCCTCTTGGTGAGTCTAGTTCTACCATTGAACACTATAGACACTTGACAAATAAGTGTAGACAAAAAAAAGAACTGGGTAATATCACGTTTTTTTCGCTCCTGCTATCAGCATTAGTTAGGTAGTTTTGTCATGTATCATCGCATAGTCGTTTCCTATATTTGTTGTATCGTATTTGCCTCCTTATGTAGTCGTTACGATGCCCTACTCGATTTAACATATCTGCACAAAATGTCAACTCACTATTTTCTTTCTAAAGGCATTCGTGTATGCATATGTAATCAATACATGTTGTTTTTTCATTGTTAATGTTTTCTTCGCTCTGTGTCGTTATGGTAACCATCTCCAAATATGCTTCAATTATCGCTAAATAAATCAAGTAAATATCAACGTACTGTCCCCTGTTTATGTTAGTTGATTGTTTCTTAACGTTTCAATATGATGTTTTTGCTTTTACGCAATGTTGGTGACGGGCGCTGTTTATTGTTGATGACGTACGAAACAAATCAATGATCAGTTGTGATATAGGACGTTCAAGTAGGAAAAGGTCATAGGCGCATTCACAATGAGAAAAATGAATCGAACCCATTGTGTTCAACGTTAGTGATTACGTATGTAGTTCTATCTAGAAGGACAAATGATATTGGACAAGTGTTGCCCCATAGCTACCGGAAGGTACTTACAGACGGAAAAAAAAATTTCTTGATGATAAATTTAACAAGAAATGATCACTTGCTCGGTCATTTCGTGACACGAGGTCCGGTGGAACTCCTTTCGCTGGACAACTTCTTGACAGCTTGTCTTACCTCAAACATTATTGAAATGGGCCTGCTGGTTAGCTGTCAATCGATATTAATTACCTAGATACATTGACAATATTCTTTAATGGTGCTTTTATTGAATGAATTTCTCTTCTCGTCTATATTAATCTATTTTCTAAACGAGCCTTCATCTGCTAGTCATTAACCGTTTCTTACCATTTTTGTTATTGTTCTAATCTGTATTAGTACTGTGCTCTTTGCCAAACCGGAGTTTCTCTCCAATTGCCACGTAATCCTCATAGTTCTGGTCTGACTCGGCCCTATCCAGGCTAAATAACATCCTCTACTCTCAACACTAGATGCTTTAGTAGGAAATCGTCGATTATTATACCTGCCATATTTTTGGAGGTCCAGTACATTGGTCCTTGCTTGAACGAGCCAATAACGTCCTGTCAAGCTGCATTTGGTGTGACGTATTTGTATCCCGCGGTGCTTGCTCTACCAGGCGGAACCCTGCCGAACAGGAAACCGGATCGCGCTTCCCGTAGCCAGGAAAGACTGCCCTCACAGACGCTTGAGGAGCAAGAGGAGATTCAACGGATGGACAGAGCTGATCGAATGGGTGATCAGCGAACTTTAAATCGTGAACGCGACCGACCGGATCGGGACCTAACCTCGCCAACGCCGGCTGATGGAGATCCACAGGGAAAGAACAAGGTGTGTATACTATCTGTAAACAGAGATACGAATATAAAATGCTCCTCTAGATTAAAATTACTTAAGTAATAAGCACATGTGGGGATTGAGGTTTTTTCAGTTTTTTTTTTTTTTAACATTCAGAAAACCTAGGTCCTCAAACCCCGCTGATTATATCACCAGCGCTATATAGTATCAGCTAATCTCTCAAGAATTGCCATACGTTTAGAATACTCACAATATCAAAATACTTACGCAGCCAGCATGGTGTCTTAGCTATCATGACCGTTTGTTTATAGGTATTAAAATGGCGAGGCAATTTTTCAGTGCTGTTGTTACCTACATCTCGTCTGTATCTAACTCGTCAGGAAAGGGGTCAGTCAATTGAATTAGATGGACAAATGGGCTGTACACGGGCACATGTACTCAATGAGAAAATGATATATAGCTTCTATCTAAACAGCACTGCCGCCTTACAATTTATAGACATTCATGCCAATGTCATTTGTGGTTCGTAAACAATGACAAGTAACAATTCGTTAACTGATCGACTATACACTCGGATGTAGCAGAAACGTTACCCTTGCCTCGCTTTCTTCGACTCATCTTCACGTTCGCTCGCTGTCTGCCAATACGAAAGTACAATATAGATCAGACAGATCAAGCGTGTCGTTCTATCAGGGAGTACGATTCGATATATTCTGTGAGGTCATGTAAAAGGACTGTGTTTTTATTAGCATATATCTGACTGGTTTTGTCGCGTATTCGTTGCATGCGCACAGAAACCTATTGGTGGGGTCGCCGTCATGCTCCCCATGGACTTGAAAGCTGCAGGCACCGGGGCCCATCGCAGGAGCCAGCCTGATGAGTCTCTCAGAAGGTCCCAGGTTGAAGACGTAAGTTCAGGTGGCCATGTTGGCTAGACGAAAAACAGCGAAAACTAAAAAAACAAGAAATACAACAATATGAGTAGCGAAAGTTGCGATCCTGACAGCATTTTTTTTGCCCAGCCACTACCCCTAAACTAGTCGTTTCTCTAATTTTATGATACTTACAACGTTAATATTAGAGTATGCCTTTCGTATTAACGCTTACTCCTTGTAAGACCTCATCAGCGAATGAGGCAATGTCGCGCGATCGGTGGGTGTACGCCAGCATCTGGGAATGCCTCCCGCGCTCACGAGCACCCAGTGGGAAACTTCAAGTGAACAGTGTTCACCCTTAGAGGATAACGCTATAGTCTCCTGCGTGACGTGCATCATTATTCTATATATACACAGAATGCCATAGAAGGCGCTGTGCTGTTGGAGGAAGTCTGTTGATTGCCAGTGGCACGTTTCTCACTATTATCAGCTATTAGTGTATCCGTCACTTACAATGGTACAGCCATTTTCACGTCATTGTATAATACACAGATAGCCATTTTAGGCTTTCTAAGTATCTTGTTGTTTTTTTACTGTTGACCAGCTCATCTCGTTGTTGTTATTCAATTACATCGAATACAGCGTCCTAAGTAACTGTTTTCATTATAGTCGTACTGGTCACATTTTTCCCACTATCCAAACAAATTTACATTAGTTTATATCGTATTTTCTGTTCCCCTTTATCCCAGTATCCCGCTTCCGCCCCTCTCCACTCGGCTCCGTAGCATTGTTTTTACCAGCTTTTTAAATAGAACTAATTCGTATCTTCGTGACTTTCTTTCGTAATCAACTGATATTATATATAGACATGATGTCCTTGTTTTCCACACCCACATACAACATTTAACCAATAGGCTCATATATAATAACCTCTTATAATTACCCAGCCCAACTCACAGAATTCACACGCAGCCAAGCAACCTAGAGACATAATTCAAGCAGGAACTAATATTGCCAACGATGACATTGACTGAACTAATAGTTATTAATAAATTGATCAAAACGAAGTTAGCTCGAATAACAAACGGCCCAGTTTAGTTATAACGATAACTTATGCCATACGTTTCGTCGTGATGCGCAAACTTGAACATCATCGTAAACAGGCGTAAACGCACCCAAAAACACAGTAGGGTACGAACGGCTGTGGACGAAAGCCACGTGAATGGAGCTCTATGCATCGATTTATCGCCAGTTACGGGTAGATGGAGAATAAGCCTAGGTGTAGTTTTTAAGGCGCTTCTTTACCCGTTTATAGTGTGACTTGATTGTGTTACAATGGAAGGATCAAGAGCGCGGGAAGTGTGTAGTCATTGGTTCTATCACACTGTAGTATAGGTAGCACCTACTAATGATATTAGGGACATGAGCAGGAAGATCATTAACTGTCGTTTCGAATGTGACGACGAAACAAAGAACTAAGCGTCAACACCAAGTGAATCAAGGGTAAATGTTTAATAATGACGGTTATGGTAATGATAATAACAGTTTTACTAACAAATTGCTTGTGTTTTTTCCTTTCCCTAACCCCTTTGCATGATTCGCTTGCGCATGGCTCTGCCAAATGGCTTCCATCAACTCATTTTCATTTTTTGATACCACCGGAATACACGTTGAATGAAAAAAATGGCTAAAACATCATTTCTACAACTACTACTGTCAAACTTTCAAAAAAATATTCATCGAACATCAAAAAAACATAATGAACGATTACTACTATCCGCCAACTGGCGATATAATATCTTATATGTGCTGCATATTGTTGGACTGACTGACTGACTGACTGACTGATTGACTAAAACATCGGAAAACCTCACGTCTTATCCGCATCATCATCATCACCGCCATTTTACATCCTGATGTGGCATGTGGGCGGGCATGTTGTTTTCGATTGGCGCAATCATCTTCCTTTTGTTCCGCTTCTTTCTCATTCGAACGACATCGGTGACTGGACACTCTCGTTGCCTGTTCTGTTTGCTAATCCCTTCCTGGCGCGATACAACGTTCGACATAAATTTCTTCCCCGTTAACTTGGGTGAATGGGTGGTCTATAATTTCACCGGCTGGTGGTCTGTGACCACCTGACCATGACCGGACCCCTCTTTGTTTGAGTTCCCCTCCGTGCCCGATCGCTCCAACGCTAAATCGCTCCAACGTTTTCTCGTGGTGCACTTGGGGGCGCATTACTCCCGTCTCGTTTTTTGTTGCCTATGGGCTGTATTCTCTGTGTGGTCTGTACAATCATATCACGGGCAAAATATAGGACGGTTCGGGAATCACCCTTACCAAATTGAAGAGGACTCCCCTGCGCGAAGACACTATGGGATCTTCCGTAGAAGACTCGGCAGAATACGTGTTGACACCGGACCGTCCTTCAGACCAGAGTTACAGAGAAAACGGAGGCGTTACACAGGCGGTAGCAATGTTCAGCCAGTCTGAAGCTAAACTCGATAATGTTGATACTGAGTTGAATAAGGGGGCCGGTTCGGCCACATCGGAAAGTTCATTCTTTGTTCAGAGGGTTCCGGGACGCGAACCTCCCGCGCATACAGTTTCCGTTGGTCCGGTCATGTTTGGTGCACGCAAAAAGGACAAGTCGGCCCAGCAACGGCCTCCTCTGCGGCATATTTTCTCAGAAGAGCACATCGCAACGGCACCTTTAAAGGGGCTAGCTGAACAAGAGGTAATTAAAAATGAGCTGGACAGATCCACCGAGCGAATGGACACACTTGAGGAGGAGCATTGCTCCGAATCGCTCACACACACGGCGGCAGCAACAGCACAAAACCGAAAGGAGAATCTAAGCAGTTTACACCTCTTAAAGGACGAGCACCCCGTAACAAGTACGCCGCGGCCGAGCGGTGGTGGGCCCAGGGTGCCTCCACAGCCCGAGCGGACCTCAAGTCCAATCCAGGGCGGACCTGGTAGGGTCGGAGCGTCGGTCAGGCAAGGAGGCTTCCTTAGGCAAACCACGCCGTACACGAAGGAGTACATGTACGAGGTTAAGCCCGAGGAACTACGCGAACAGCGCACAAAGTCCCCGCTGGGCTTCACCTACACCGAGGCAGGAAGGGAACGAACTACACCGCCTGGATCGTTAGACGCGGATAGCGGCAAAGTCGAGAAAGGTCTCGCTTTTACCTACTCGCCGAGCGGCGCACCAACGAAATCGATTCTCAAACAGCCGACATTTGTCCACGACCGATCGTCGTCAAGTCTCAATGACTCGATGTCGATGTCGAGAAGTTTCGGATCAACACCTCCGACATCTCCGACGAAAGCGCAAGCAGCAGCACAGGCGGGCGACCTCTACTCACGACCGACCGCCGCCCCTAGGACCGTGCCTTCCTCCAGATTGTCGGCGGGCATTACCCTTGGCAGTAAGCCGCCCGTCGCCCAAAAACCTTTGGGGGTTTCATCAAAGGGTGGACGTGGCAGCAGCGGGGCGATGACGCCTTCGTCTCAAAGGGACATCGACTCCAGCAGCGGCGACGAGGACGAGAGCACCGACGAGTCGCTCGATGAGTACCGCCAGGAACGTCCGCCTAGTTCAGCCGGCGTTGTAAGCGGCAGGTCCACGCTAGACACAAGCGCCGATTCTGGGCGCAAAGTGTCGATCACCAACCCGCCGGTCACCTCGACCCGGACGTATAGGACAGAACGTGACAGTAGCAGGGACGCGCGAGGTGGTAGTATGCAGCCGCAAGAGGAGTATTACGCTACGCCAAAATCCGCTGTCGTGAAGAGCTATGAGGGACCGGCAAAGCGAAGTGTCACCACCCCCGTGTCCTCCGACCGAAGCTTCGATCGCAGTTTCGACTCCGGCGCCGGCGGAAAGGTGACAATTACTAGCTCTTCCAGCACGCACCGCTCCGCGTACGGACAGCCTGCATCGTACAAGGTGCTTATCTTTTCTTTCTTTCTTTCTTTGTTTTAGTTCTTTTAGTTTTTAAGTGTTATTCTCGATTCCTTTGTTTTTATTTGATTAATTGTTCATTTGTTTGATCGCTGGCTGTTTGTTTGCATAGCTGGCTCTTGCTTTCGCCAGCATCGATAAGCGTATGCACGTGTTTGATACAGCCCATTTAGATAATTCCCGTGCAACTCTATGATTGAAAATGATTATTATGAATTATTTTTTTTATTTATTATTTTTCGGCCATTCGTTTTTGATTTACTGTGCCAAACACATCTGCACTTGCCTAATTGACTCTTATACAATTACCATGAACATTGTTGTTTCTTCAATCTACGCCTGTACTTATGCTTGAAAAGGCGACAGAAGTTAACACATACGAGTTGATCAGTATGGATACCGTTATTTTAGTATGAAGAAATTCGTTTGCACGATCATAGGGCCTAGTATGTGACAAAAAGTAGGAGTCAAATTGTGCTTTGTATTGTAGGCTATGTGTAATAGGCAGCATGCGGCTCCTTTCGAACGGCATGCTGCTAAGGAAGTACAAACCGTACAGCTACCTCGTCTGCCCTCGAGTTGCTAGAGTTGTGTTTTGCTCGGCCTTTGCTGTTTGGTTCCGTCGATTGAGACAGTTGACGTTGTATTTTGTTTTTTTTTTTTGACGTTTGTTTTTCATATGGTTAACAGAGCTGATATATCTATGGCACGCATCTTGTAAAAGTATAGGGACTTGTAGGTATAGGACTGTATAGGGACTATAAGTTGGTAAGCTGTTCAGTAGTAGTAGTTGTGGTAAATTAGTCGAACTGCATTGCCAAGCCATCTTGCTAAATAGTCGACAACAGCGCATAACGGTAATGTGGTAATAGTAGCAGAAGAGACAGGAGCATAGGCACGCGCTAATTATAAGCTGGCCGGCTAGGGCCGAACTGATCGGCCTTGAGTAGTTAGTGTATAACTACGATACGAACGATAATCAAGAGTAGCTGCTGTCGGCAACTTTCGTGAGTTGCTAGCTTTGTAGATGGGATGAAGCTACGGTGATGATGTCTGTGGAACACCACGTCCAGGGCCGCAGTATTTATTGTTGTACCGACTTCCTAGACTCGTCAGTTATTCAGGCTGGATTTGTTTAGAGACCGGTTTTGAAGCCGGACTAAATGTGTTTGTCCCAGTACATATCGGCCTCAAGTACTTCACAGTGAAGTTTTTCTTTTAGCGTTATCAGTCTACGAAGCTTTCTCCGCGGCTCTTCTAACCAAATATCAATTACACCGCTACGTTGGAGCTTTTGCCCGACTCTGCTTCCCAATCACTCTAACACGCTGTCATGCCAACTCGTAAATACTTCATCGTAAGTCATAATATAACAGACTTAATACTCAGGTATTCAAGAGGTTGCAGCCCGTTGACATATACGTGTACAAATTTATAGTACAGTGGATCCTGTACGTGATTTTTCAACAAAGATCATGTTCCTCTAATCGGTGTTACTGATGGACGCCGGTACCGCTATTGTCCAATCTGGCGCAGCCAATCAATGAGTGACAGCTCGGGCGTTCGATATTCAGCCATCTTTATTGTTTGCGATCCTTTTCTACCGCGTGATTCTAGCTGCAGGCCGCAATATTCACGTAGTGTTCCTGTTCCGTTTATCTGTGTGTCATTTCCAATCGATGCACTTGGAACCTTAGTCAGCCTTGATTGGTAAAGTAATGCTCGGTTAATTCGTTGATCTTCTGACTGACCTGCCTCATCATTGACCTAATCAGACCTGATCCTGCTGTTGAGCCCTGGTCGTTGAGTTAATGATTTTGTGTGAGTGTGTGTGGGTGGGTGTGTGTGTGTGTGTGTGTATGCGTGTGTAAAATTGTGAGATCGTGCGAGAGTTGAGAATGAGTTGATATGCACTAACACGCAAGCGCGCCACCCCACCCCCAGCACCGACAGGACTCGAAGGACAAATCCAGTGCAGGCGCTGATACTGTGGATTCCGGCTCTAGCCCAACCAAGGACAAGGACACGGGTAAAGGGACCGCATCGCCTTCGGGATCGCTTGGAAGACAACATGAACAACAGCAGAAATCGTCCTCGATGTCGTTCGACAAAGATACACAGGTACATTTGGTAACCAAAACGAAATTATCTTGCTTATATCCGGAACAATCTCACTTGTCAGTAACATTATAAATAGGCGTAACATGTAACACAATATATAGGCATGCGTCTATTATGTACCAATACTGTAAATTAATATGCATGGGTGGACAATTGCAGTATTATACATCGTTCCCTGGACGAGTAGATTCCTCAGCTGGCTCTGCCCCAAGCCCCCACAAATCCTCTGGAGGCCGGGATAGCGATCAGTTGTCTGGCGTCACGGGGGATAGTCAGAGTCCTCCACCCCAGGTTACCTCTTCAGGAGGGCTAGTGTATGACGAACGAAGTGGCGAGTACACTCGCTACTCCACTACGACGCAGCAGCAACAGCAAACGCTTGTCACAGAACACATTGCCTCAACCGGACGGGTTATGGCGGTTCCCGTCGACCAGCTGCCGGTATGTTATATTACCCTCCTCCAAGCGTCCCAATGCAACATTAACTGATGATAAAATATCGACCTGTTTAAATAATTCTATAGTCGAGATGTTATGGGTAGTTATAAACATGCGTAATACTTAATGCCGTTTGTGTATGCGCTATCTGTCCTACAGACGTTCGGCGTATTTTAGTTAACCGTGAAACTAATATAAAATTTCCCCTTCGTCTTCATTTCTGTATTTTATCGTCGCAGCAAACAATTGTTAAAACCGAGACAATGAAGTACGATGGCAGCAATACAACTGGAAATTCATCTGGAACAGCGGGAGGTTCGCTAATTACTAAAACTGTGCCAGTAGTCTCGACGGAGACCCGAAAAGTGGCCTACTCGGTGGATCCTTTGGGGGAGGACGGGTTGCCGTCGGGTGGTCAGTACTCTACCACAAAGGTGACTACCCAGCATGTGCCACCCCATGACATCTCCGTCGAACAAGAAGGCGAGGTAGGTGACCAATTAAACAGCCACTACAATACTGAATGCATATATATGTAAAGAGGAAACGCCTATCTGTCTGGTAGCGGGCTTATGCTTATTTATTTGTTCTGTCTATTATTATTATACAGGTTATTTCACAGCAGACGATTTCTTCGAAGACGCGCACAGTAGAAACGGTGACGTACAAGATGGAACGGGACGGAGTGGTCGAAACACGGGTCGAGCAAAAAATTACAATTCAGAGTGACGGAGATCCTATCGATCACGATAAAGCACTTGCCGAGGCTATTCAGGAGGCAACAATGATGAACCCTGATCTCAAGGTAAATTCAATTTGTTTGTTTTGATATACGCCTAATGGCTGATTAGTTATAGGTCTAAGAGTCTAAGAGGCCCTGTTCGATGAGTTTATAGATTACCTATTCTGGAATAAAAGTTGATCCTTTTTTCAAAGAGTTTTTGTCCCTGATATTCTGCGCTGTTTGATATTATAGTTTATCTCTCCGTTGGTCATGGCGGCACACTAATATGGCACGGGGACTCTTTTTTTTCGGTTCCTGCTCTCCTTTCTTAAAAAAGGTGGAGAAGATCGAAATACAGCAACAAGGTGGCAACTGATGAGCTGGAGGCGGATTAGTGGATGACAACATCGTGGCACTGATAACGAAGGACAAAGTGGATGAATAGTAAAGCAAAAGAAGCCAGAAATCCGCAACCCCATCGGAGGTCCCTAATCGATTATCTCGCCTTGGCTCGATCATCCCTGACGACGACAAGCTTCCGATGTTTAGCGCCCAAATACATATATATATATATGAAAATTATTAATATATGAATGACCTTACCTATCGTCGACAGCATCAGCGCCCAAACAAACACATTAACAGAATGTGTTCAACGATATCGGTGGTAAAATCTTCAGTAAGCAGGCCACTAACAATAAGCATAGAGAATATCCATAAAGTCGCGCACTCCGATGCAGGCCTATGACAGAGTGTGCCTATGTGTATTCCAAAATTCGTATTCTAGGGATATTGTTACGGGTTTGCGTTCTATCGATAATATTAATTATAACAACAATAATAGTTCACCCGTTCGTATATTCTTGTTGATTCCTTAGTTTCTTGCCATTGCGGCTATCGATGGGAACTGGACGAAACGTTGTGGGACCCAGCAACTGCCTAGTCAACCCATAATGTACAAATGACAAAGATGACGTATGGGTTTTAGGGCCAGGTGAGAAGATTTCAGAAAAGTCTAACTGCTGTTATCGGTCAAAACGATAGATAAAGCAAGCATTACTTTGCAAAGAATAGCTGCGATACCTTAAGGTCTGTCGAAACTTCTAACGCACATACGTACAATATGAGAATCTGATAATAATTATAACACTGGAGTTATTATGGACGAACATGTCACTAAAATGATATTCTCTTACGATCTTCATGAGATAGGTTTGAGGCATGCCACTCATCCACAGCCTTCACTATGGCAACGTCGAAAGCGTTGCCATAGTGAAGGCTGTAGAAGCGAAAGTTGGTAACAGTAAACATGAGCTCAATGTAATAGTTCTACATTTAACAGCAGAGGCTTGTCGGAGCGGTCAGGGGTAGATAAATGCCTACACAGTGTCAAACAGCACTAACAAGTAAATAAACTAAAAGCGATCCTGAAAGCGCTCGCAGACCAGTGGTTGAGGTACAAGGAGCTCTGATCTTCTCGTATCCTACCGATCTATCCTGCGCGTGCGCCGATGATTTGCCCCAGTATTTACGCTTACTAGCGTGTGCAAGTGGGCCGCAATAGACAAAACGATTTGATATAGACGAACATTTGCACCGACCCAAGAACAGATCCACTCGGTGCCGACAACAGACCTTATCGCTGTCTCAACCTATATACGCCAATTTTGCCGTCTATCGTGACAAATGCCACATAAGCTGGATAGAGCATTTAAGCCCGTATGTATGCTTTGTCTGAGCACGCTTATAAAACGGGCTCGAATATTCAGGAAAAAACAGGTCGGCGAATATCTACGTTTGACAAAGTAGCATAACATTACTACCGGTGCGATACGAAAGCAAATATTACTCTGTATATCCTTTTAGGTGTACAGTAACGTATCTTATTTTTTAGGTTGGGTTTAGTGTCTGTGCTTCAATCAGTACAAGCTGGACGATTCAACATGCTGATAAAGCCGTTCAGAAGGTTGCCGAAATGGCTACGAGCTGAAAATAGTTTTCACAAAATTAGGATCAGAAAACATGGATAAATAGGTAGAATTTGAGCTGACATAGGGGCAGTTTCCCGCCTCTTCTCAGATAGAGAACTGAGTTTTGTTGTCGATTACTTATTATATAAGGTGTATGAATATCAGGCGTTCATACTTTCATCTGGTAGACCTGCTAAACGTACACACTTTATTGCCTGACTTTTGAAGCTACCTAGAAATAAAGGTGAACGAGTATCGTCCGAATTATATGTATGTAAAAGTGCAATTGTGCCCGGTATGATTATGCATAGAATTCAATGGACAATAGAGTATGGCCAGGTCGAGCGAAGTGAGACTTTCCGTGACGCTACTCCAGTCTAAGATCATTTGCCCCGGCATCATAATTATTATATAATACAATATTCGTGTGGCGACAAAAGCAGATACGTTTTATCATCATCATACGTTGGACGCATGTGGACGACTGCACATCAGATCATTTACTTGCGTTTGTCATCAGGCCTGTCGTGATTCAGAAGACTTTTTGAAGCAACTCATAGTTACCGATTGAGAATGAAACTCTCCGTATGCATACGTGTATGTAGAAGTGGATACATGCAGTCGAGCATTCACTATAGGTAGAAACGAAGGCATATGACAAATAAGCCTACTCAGATTGAGGCATAAGACTGTTTGTATGAGTACATTAACGATACAACAAAGAATCGGATACACTATTCTGAATAGAGACGGTGTTTGTGTGTACATTGCTAAAGCCTACGCTCGGAGTCCACGTTATGGACCAAGCGTCCAATTGAACAGGAGCCTTTGCACGCATCCATAGCCACAGTTAATAAAACGACATAATGAAAAGAATAATAAGACATTATACTGACCGTTATATAAAAAAAATAGTCAGCTTTCGAGCTAGACAGATGTGACAAGGAATAGATATGATAATTTCTTCCATCTCGTCGTCTGCCACACATATGCATATATACAATTAAAAAAATGTGGTAGACGGACAAATAAACAGGGCAAGGAGGGACGGGCAAAAATTGTACGAAATGACCTGCGCGTCATGCAGGATATACGGCACGTACGCATGAGATACACGGCGCAGACCGTTTCACTTGCTACCAAGTAGGAGCGGCGAGTTTTTGAGTATGTGGACAACTTTTCATGGCAGACTTTCGCCCACAGCGAACGAAAATAACCAACGAGCTGAGCTGAGGTCACGCTCGAACACTGATTGAACAGACGGACAAGAACAGATGTATGTAGATGACTAACAAGTATATTATATAATAATATGGCGTCGTGTAAGTGTCGCGCGGCGAGAAAAACACAAAAATAATAAATCCTATAGTAAGCCAAAATATGTAAGGCAAAACAGAGGGACATAATATACACACGAGTCAGTTTGAGCAATGGAATCACACGGTTGCGGAAGCAGAGCATAGGTGACATTGATTCTGATATTAAAAGAGAGAAAAAATAGACACTCAGAAAATATAAAACACAATGAATATGGCGGGCGTATTATACTATTTACGTGGGTCATATGATTTTGTAATCGGAATCACCACTTTACCGGCGGAATAACTGTTTGCTTTTAATTGTCGAATACACTTCATATCTCCCTCGATATTTACGTATCTTTTCTCTTCCAATATTTTACTATGGTTTTCTCGTTCAATCTGTTTGTGTGGCGCGTGTCAGGCTGTCCTTCTGTCCGCGAGCGAGAGCACCAAAATGACCGAGAGTTAAGCCTTTTTTTCCGCTAGAACGAACAACATACTTATGCAGCTGCCATAAAAAGTTCGACTATTAGAGATAGCGTAATAGGACAGGCAGAAGAGCGTAAAAACAAAAAAAATCCCCATGGAATCATCACAGACACGACAGAAAAACGCTAATCATCTTTATTCTAAAACATATTATGATTTTGACAGTATAATCATAGAAACCTTTTACCAATGAGACAATATTCATGGAAAAGGTAAAAAATAATAACATACTATGGATAGTAACGATAATGGTATTAATTATCATGTTTATACGGTCATCTCAGTAGATTAACACGTTTTTTTGCATTCGACAATGGAGCTTCGTTTGGAAACGACAATTACTGCCATAATAATAATAATTTGTCTTGTTATTGCCGTGCTAAATATAACAGGATTTTTCTTTCTTTTTTTTTTAACCATTCGTTTTTTATACCTTTTTATACAATCTCTACCTACAACGATGTGACGCGATTTAAGAAACATAACTATATATTTATCGAAAGTGTGTACGTCTCTATGCAAAAAATGATTAAGTAAATACGGCTTTTTCTCTTAAGATTTTTGTCTTAAATAGTCGTAGTAGCGATAATTGTAGCAAAGGCAAACAAAAAAAATTCACATATTTACAATATTTTTTGTTTTTGGACGGTTAGCGTTTTTACTAAATAATTTAAGAACCAGAAAGATTATTTTCCACCAATCTCTTTTGTATAGTACTTCAGGTCCGAGGATATCTCTGAAGCAAAGCTGAAGAATCAATAACGCTTAAAATAATGACCAAGAAAAATTTTTACAAGAAAAAAAGTAGTTGTGTAATAATTAATAACATTTTAATAATCGTCAGTAGCATCTTGAGCTTCAATAAAGAGCCCTACGGTTTTATGATACTTGCTGACAAGGACAAAAGGTTTCTTTGAGATGCTGGCTAACGTTTGCGTCACATGAGATTGGTGGTCTAGAACTCCGGGAAAAAAGTCAGACAAGTCTTATTTTTCAGGAAAGGCCGGGAAGAAAACGATTAACTTCATGGTATTAGGTTAATTTAAAAGTAAGGTCAATTGATCAGCTCACCTTAAACGGTGCTAATCTCTATCAAAGATTAATCTCCTCTAAGAAAATTGTATTTTTAGTTTGCCTGGCCTTTCTCGCCTGTTCGTACGCCAGATGGGATTTTTGGCGCACGAAGGAAATATCCATGGATGCGGTCGGCAGATAGATGATCCATTTTCATGATTCCTGATTTTTCTTATAAATAGCTTGTTCATCGGACCATATTATACGGACACATGCTTCGCTTCATACCGGGAGCCAGTCGTCTGTCTGGTGGAACTATGCCTAACGGCGATACCGAGCAAAGCCTCGAAACATAGAGGTGTCATCTTATGGAACAAGGGACGGACATTAAGCCTGAACAAACGAATTTGTCACGGGGTCCGTTGGAATTCTGTTCATTCCTTTTCAGTCACGAGTCAGATGTTGGAAAACCATATTGAAGGATGCAATTGCCGATGTATAGTTTTCTACTCGTAGGTTTTATCATACAGAAAACTTTCTAAATATAAGCGGTGTCGCTCATGCGAGGGAGGCCAACGCATCGAGGTTTTCGAATCGAGGGCTAATAAAGCTAATAAAGTCGATGAATCCCAAAGTCCGAATTAATGTATTATCTCTGTCTATAACTCCAACTAATAACCCTACGCAATTCGGCCACATTTTCTACCAGAACAAAAACCGCTGGGTAACGTTCAGAAGAGAACGTTAGAAAAATATACTGAATTTTTTTTTAAAAAATCGTCATTTGAGAAATGAGAATGTCTTTGTACCAACTTAATCATATTGACGGAATCAAAATGTAAAGATTGGAAATGATAAGTTACTTGTTTCCAGGCGTCTCTCATCAAATTTCTGCTACATATTCATTTGTTGGATTTTTTCAATGATGATAAAAAATTTAATCTATAAATATACATATATTTATAGTTATGAAAATGCTGGCTGAAAGCTTATCTTGCGAACGAAAATCTGAAGAACTTACAACATAGGTTTGGCAAAACTTGCGAGGCAAATGAAACATGGCAAATCAACAGACGATTGAATAAGGGTAACTGGGATAGAAGTTAGAATGATGCTTTTATCGTATAAATAGAGTTTTATGACTAAGTGAATTTGCAAGGTCCTCGCTGCTCTACTACTTCGGTGGTATCCTGATTAATGCATTCATTGAGTAGTAAAAGAGCGCCTCCCTTAGTTGATAGCGGGGTGTCAAAAAAGATGGCGTAAATAGTGTCAATTTGGTTCTTTCCAGGGGCATTTCAGGACATATCTGAGGCACTGCACATATCATGGAGTTAAATGAAGAAAATTATCTTCCGCAAGTCACGCTTGAATATCTCGAAAATTATAAGCTAATACATTATACTGGCAAAATACGAACAACAGAAAAAGGTACTCGTATTTGCTTTTTCAACGTAGGATCATTTGCGTCCCACACGCTCTATTTTTTTAGGACATGGACATTGAAGTTGTAAATTGCTAGAACTTTTATAGGTCGCTCCCGCCGCCACGGGACCCCGTCAAGGAGCACTTTTTTCTGTCGTGGTACCTGTTGTTCTCAAAAATAACGTTAGGTCACTTCTGTCTCGACCTATTTTTTCAACACGTTCCGTATATGACTAGCTGTATAATTTTCAGGATGAATGCTACGACTATGGGTTGTATCCTTGTAAGTTCAGATCGGCTCAGATCACTACGAACGTCTAACTAATAACTGTTATCGTATACGTTCAGCAAACGTCATCCTCTAATATAAAGAGGTTTTAACTGGCGCATGAAAGCGGACTTAATTAATACGTACAATTATTATTTTCTATTATCATGTAAATGGAACCAATTCGTTTTACGGTAACTAATAAAGGATAGCAGCTCTAACGCAGAAGCTTCGCAATATATTAAACAACACAAAAAAGGTAAAAGCTCATCCGGAAAGGAAATTTAGAATATCCTAAATAATATCATGGCATGGGATAGAAATTGTTTCGCACCGTAACCCGGCTGAATGACCCGATTATTTTTCTGCGATAGTTTTGTAAAAACCATAAACAATAAAACATTTTGTAGAAAATAACAAGCGGCGGAAAAGGCGGCGTTGCAATCAATTAGATAATAATCTGATTAATCGCACCACGATCTGTACGACCAAGCCTTTCACTGAAAGAGCCGGGAGCAACCGAATATAGCGCCGCAATGAATATATTTTATTGTATATGTACCGCAGAATAAAGAGCAAGAAATGATAATAATGACATCTAGCTACAAATACGAACAATGGCAAATCCAGAGTTACAGTAAGTAGGTCGAAATATTTCGATATTGTGCTTGTCTTTCCAGTGCAGTCATAAAATGGAAAATAAGGAATTTGTTCAAAATATTTGATTTTAACCAACACTTCCTAAAACTATTGATATTATCATCACTATTATGATACGACTCACCCTAAATTGACCTTCTTCGGTAATTTTGTAAATTTTTATTTATAGATTTCCTTTTAACATTGCACTCACTGTAATAGACATTATGTTCTGCTGTGAAAAAAAAATGTTTTTGTTGAATTTATTATTTATAGGTTTATTTATACATGAATACTTTTGCAACATCTAAAAAAAGGGACTTTAACAAATTGAATGACTTTTTACGGCAGAAAGCCCAGCATTAAAACAATATCCTAAAAAATGATTCCATACATCGAATCCAGTGAAAACTCTCTATTGTTATCTCATCTCGCGTGTTTCTATATATTTTACCTCCTTTAAGCTTCCGCGCTGTTCAGAACACATCGGTTCAGGTACTTAGTGAACACTACTCGGTTAACTGTAAGATTTATACAAAACCGTAAACCTGAATAGGCAACCTTATCAGACGAAAGAAGATGCTTATAAGCGAGAGGTCACGGAGTGCATTGAAATGATCATTAATATTATATAATTAACTCGACACATACACGCTTATATATGTCTACATTCGTGACAATGGCTCCGAATAGCTCGTTGATTATCGAAATATTTGAATAAATTTATTTGGTGGTGTTGAAAACGTGATTTCTGACGATCTTGTTTATTCAATGTGTCCATTCAGACTGATTAGCTCTTGTATTCGAGGCCTAAACTACCCGCAGGCTCGTTCCGAATACCTTTCGGATAGCATAAGTGAGCGGGTCGTCGTCACAACAATATGATCACGCCGATATTTACAGGTGTCACCATCTATGTGATAATGGGTTAAAATACTATAGTTATATGCGTTTGTTTCGAAATACATTTATACCTTCAAATAGCCAGTCTTGCAGCAGCCGGCTGGTATCAAGCGACAAGCCATTTTGCTAGGACACGTATGACCTTTTTTTGAACAGCTTAGCTGCTCGTTGTCTCCTTCACTGGGCACCGCACTCAAAGCGTGAACATAGGCCGGAAAATTCGTTATACCCAACATGTAAATAGGCAAATTTCCCTGACTGTCAGGCACGCCTACGATCGTTTCTGCAGCTGATTTTTGCATTAATAAAAATACTTTTCTGACCTGCCGCTTTCTCTTTGCGAAAATTGAGGAGCCCCCTGTCGTCCTTAGAGAGCAATTCTGTCTGACTTTATTCCTACATGATAGCCTGCAACTGAATCAAAACAGCAGAATTACTAAAAATTGACTTCTGGACGGTGTTCTTGCTGCTTCTATTTGTCGTCGATTTTGGAATATCCTTTGAGGTATGTTAGCTTGATTGGGGTTTATTGCAATGAATAAATTCGATAATGGTTGATCTCTGCTGAAACTGCGAAAACGACGCTTTTCCTTGGTAATACTGGTTTCATCTGAAAGAGCGCCTGAAGTTACAAGCATCCGGAAACATCGAAGACAGTCTCAATCTAGCCGATGCCATACATATATATATATATATATATCGGCTATGACATATAGAAGAGATGTGTACTTTAACGTTTTATTTGCAATATACGATAGGAGTGAGATACTATCGTACGATATGAATAATGGAGAGGTAATTTCGAGCGCAGTCTTAATAAGGAAGCGTTTTGAGACCTCTATATATAGAGTAAATAACAACTGGGTAAAATTTCACCTTAAATACTTTAGGGCAAAAGCCATTGTGGTACAAAAGGCAGCGCGACACAGTTAAACACAACATCTGATATGAAGCGTCCTTCTTAACCGATAAATGCCAACGATTCAAGAGCTGAGTTTATAGCTAATAAGCTGTCTGAACAGGTGAAAATCGTGATTCAGAAAGTCTCAGATGCGTTTTTTCCTACTATTAGTGAAACCTATGTGGCCCGAACAATTGAAAAAACAATTTCCTGCATTGTTATGGTATGGGTTTTTTTTTTTTCCCTGGCATTTACAACAAACTTTTCCGGAGCCAAAAATTATTAGCATAACTCTCATTATTAACAGGAGAAACATCAGAATTCGCGATTCTGTACCTGAGTTCTCTGTGGGAAATGGCTCAAGCATGTATTCTAGCTAAAATCTCTTGGCTCTATACGAACTTGA